TGTTCTTTCCAAACTGAGAAAGAAGAGACTGGTTCTTGTCGTTATTCAGCTGAGAAGAAAACAAATACTTTGATTAAACTCTCGCAAATTTCACAAACCAAAACTAACCAGAAGAATTATTTCTACTTGTAATGAGCGCCACCTGGAAGTTTGATGCCTTCTGTTGTGTGTTTGGCAAAGGAGCTTTAAAAAGAAAGTGGGGATTTCAGCAGATGATTAACTCACTCTGGTGTGAGTGGGTAGGATTTGTAGTAAGACTTCATCAAGACCTAGATCTTGATGAAATTGAGTGGGGAACATGATCAGTGCCGTAGGCATATTTGGTGTTTTGGATGTTTCTATTGTGTGTTGCAAGTTTAATTGAAAACTTTGTGTTTGTTGGGGTGTCTCTACTGTCCTTTTTTCTTTTGATTTACTTGTAGTTTTGTTTTAGTTACACCGCCTGGTCGTGCAGACTGTTGTAAAAGATTGCGAGGGAGTCCTGTGAGAGCGGTCCAACTTCTTTCTTTACTTTTTTTTTGGGTTTGTGCCACGTCCCTCTGCAAATCCATTACAGGTGACACACAGCACTTACTCCCAACTGTGCTGAGACCCAAACTGTTTGCGGTGCTTGGTTCACGGGTGAATTGATCGCAGTGTCTCGAAAACAGGGTGTAAGGATTTGCAGTGCAGCTGAGATGTTAGTAGAATTTGTGGTTAACTGGGAATTAATGGGAAATTTTATGTTTAATTGATAAAACAAATAAAACACATTTATTTCATTTACATCTTAGTGGTCTCTACTGAAGAGATCAGATGTGATGTTACCTCTTTCAGAGTGTTTTGGATCAGGCTGTGCAGCAACGGACTGGCTGCTACTTTAAATCCATCCTGACCTGAAAAAAAAAACAACCCTAATGTTTAGTTTTCATGATGTTGCCTAATTTAGTCTTTTAAGAAGATGCATAAGAGGAAACCTGAACACTAAAGAGGTATAAAAAGTCTCCATCCAGTAAATACCTGTCACAATGCCGTCCAGGTTGATGTAGGCGACTGCTTTCATGCTCAGAGAGGACAAATAACCCTGGAACAAAGAAATAGCCAAAATAAATTTATACTCAGCCACTTTGTTAGGTGCATCTTTTCAAATGTTTGCTCTCTAATAAGCCAATTTATGCATGTAGACATGAACCAGATGTGAGATGAAACTGACAAATGTGCAGCAAATGCTTGATGCTATCATGTCAATATGAACCAAAATCTCTGAGGAATTTTTCCATCACTTTGTTGAATATATGACATGAAAAATTAATGCAAATTAAGTGAAAAGAGGTGCAACCCAGTATTAGCAAGGTGCAACTAATAAAGTGTAATAAATAGCGTGTATTTACATGAACAGAGTACACTCATTATTAATGCAGTTTTGCCTTGCATTTCTCACCTCCAACCACTCGGTGGCGCCAACACTCCCATACTCTCCCGCACTCCAACTGGCAAACACAATGCTCCTCCTCGGTTTGAATCCATCTGACAAAGTGGAAACACATTTAATAAAACTAATGAAGCCGGTGCGTTTTTTAGCTGCTCAGTGACAAACTTTAGCGTCTGATGTGAAGTTTACATCAATTTCATTACTGTTACTTATTCATTTGGGGTTTTTTTTCCTCCCAATTCAGTTTTATTTGTATACAGCCAAATTGCAAGCTAAAGAGCCAACAGTAAAACAGAGAACATGCCAACAATCAGACTTGAAGCACTTGGTGACAGTGGAAAATAAAAACTCCCTCTTAACAGCAAGAAAAATCAGGAAGAAAAAGAGGTGGATAAAGAAGCACTCAGTGCATCATGGGAGGCCTACAGCACCATAACTAAGGGAGGATTCAGGATCACCTGATCCAGCCATAACTATAAGCTGTAGCAAAAAGGAAAGTTTAAAGCCTAATCTTAAAAGTAGAAATGGTGTCAGTCTCCCAAATCCACCTGGGAGCTAGTTCCAAAGAAGAGCGCCCTGAAAGCTAAAGGCTCTGACCCCCATTCTCCTTTTAAATATTGTGAGAACCACAAGTTCTTCACAAGCCTTCAGACTGAGAGTCAAGTACTCAGCCTGGGTAATTACATACTGTGAGGTCTTTAAGATAAGATGGGGCCTGATTATTCAAGACCTTTTTTGAGAATGCTAAGGTTTTTGAATAAGATTCGGGATTTAACATGAAGCCTGTGAAGCAAAGCCAGTATCGGAGAAATGTTTTCTCTTTCTAGTCCCTGTCAGTATTCTCAGTCCAGCACTTTGAAACAACTGAAGACACACCCTGGTCAAAAACAACCCCAAGATATCTAAAAGTTTTATTTCATTCCAAGATAATGCAATTGTTAGGGCCAAGTACGATAGCCTTGGTTTTCATTTAGAAGCAGGAAGTTAGAGCCAGGTCTTTATGGCTTTAAGACATTCCTGTCGTTCAACTAATTGGTGCGTGCCATCTGGCTTCACTGATACATTAAACTGGGTATCCTTTGCATAGCAATGAAAATGAATGATATGCTTTCCCATAATAGTGCCTAAGAGAGGCATGTATAAAGTATCAACAGGCGCTCACCGTTCTCCACCATGTCAGAGATGGAACGCGCCAGCTCTATGAGGACGCTGGTGCCCACGGTTGATGCTGCAAAGCCCGGGCCCCACGCATCCCTCTGGGCCCCGATGACCACGTATCGATCTGCAGACGGTCACAGGACTTTCATCACTCACATCGTTTCCATATTTCCTGATCACAGGATCTCTCTCATTATTCATCTTTGCTGTACCTGCATCCACAAAGCCTTTGATGACCCCAAAGACATTATTTATCCTTTTCTCAGTAAGGACATTGTTGACTTCCACAGTAATAACATCGCTCTCATCTCCGAGTTTATTGATGCTCCCCCAACCATTTGGCTGAGTTCTACCCCCGAGCTGCCTGTGGGATGCAGACAAACGTCAACCCTTCATTGATGCCCTGTTTATTACAAGCTTTGACAATCTTTCTGATACCAGTTCGGTGTATGTGAGTCTTACCTCAGAATTTTGGTTCCCATGCCTGTTGTTATAGTCTGAGCCAAAATATGTGGCAGGCCTGAAGACTGTACAGGTGGAAACTGGGTGTAGTTGAAGGAAGAGAAGCCTGGGGTGTAGGGATCCCCAGAGCCCATGTGGACCTGTGGGAAACAGAAGAAAAACACAATGCAGTGCAATTGCTTCCTCTTAGCAACAGTATTAGGTTTACAGACTTTAGAGTTTGTAATACATGTCAAATCAGTCTTCATATTCCCTGTCTGTCTTTTTGTGTAGACTTCTACAGAACCTACCAGCAATACTGTATGACCAGGAATCAAACAATTGCCAGGGAGTTATGATTTGTTTGGTAGCACCCTCGCTTGCTCAAAACTCCAGAAAAGCTCCCACTGCATTCCAATTCTTTGAATCTTGAGAACATCAAACAAACTAAGCATGTAGAGCACTTCAGTGGCTTTTATTCCAGTACATTTTAAAACTGCCCTCACTCACATGTCCAAAGAGTGAAGTATCATTTCCAATAGGGTAATCAATGGGGTCTGGGTAGATCAGCACAGCAGAAGCGTTCACTTTGGCTGCATTGGCTACCTATAAGCAGAGAAACAAGGCAATGGAAAATTAAGTTCACCAACAGTAAAGATTTTTGCATAAATCCATCCATCTTTTTGTAATGTTTCATGCAAAAAGAAGTAAACTTAAGTCCCACAATCACTAAACTGGTATCACTAGTATGACCTCAGATTTACAAAGTACCCTATTGCCTACCCTGTCAAATCAGCTGTAAACATGTCACTTCTATGTGTGAATCTGTGCCATTTAGCAAAACAGTCTCTCCTGAATTTATGCATAAAATGTTCTCCAAGCTTTATTTCATCACAGCCTCATGCAGGAAAGAGGGTGAAGAAATGTGTAGGGAACTCAAAACTTTTTACACACAAAAAAACAAAAACAAAAACAAAAACAAAACCAGATTTAAACTGGACTAAAACTTCTGTTTGATATTTTGACATTTTCAAATTGCAATTTAGGGACATGGCAGATTTGCACAGATATTACCCAAGTCACCCCAGGAAAAATTATTCCTGTTTGAATAGTTTACTAATACAACTTTTGCATCTTTTTAAGCATCCCACCTTCTCAGCAAAGCTGATCCTTCCAGCTCTGACCAGCATCACCCTGTTATTCATGTTGATGTTCATGTCCTTCAGCTGTTGGAAGTCATCTTCCTGTCCATAATGGGCATACAGCACTGCACCCTGGAGCCATCAGAAACTGAAATGTCACTGCAAATGTCACTGTACATTTTTCCTACTCATAATTTAGCCTTCTGATTACCCTTGCTGTTCCACTCGCGCTGTAGGACAGGAAACCTGTTGGACGTTCCTCTGAATCGTTCTTGAAAACTATTCTGTTGTATCCAGATGCTGGGGGGTCCTGAACCTTGACAAAGTACTCATCAGTCCAGGTCTTCATGCCGTACTTCTTAAACTTCTTTATCACCTTGTTCCCCAGATCTTCATCACCAGGAGAACCAGCCCGGTGGTTGCTACTGCTCAGCTGACTGTGAACGAACACGGGGAAAACAAATGGAGGCAAGAAAACAGGGCCCAGTTATTCTCTTTTAAAACTGCAATGCACATAAAATTTGTACAGCACTGTACATGCAGTGTGTGGGGTTTCTATTCACCTTAGTGCAATCTCTAAGTTGGATGTATTTAGTTTATCACCAAGCAGTTTTCTCACATCATCCCAGTCCATGAAAGGGACAGCCCCAGTCTCATGGGTAATATCATCTTCAGAAGGTGCACAGGAGCAATTCAGATCCTTATTCTTATGAACCAGGTAGCCAGTCAAATAGCCTGAACGTGGTAGTCATTTAAAATGAGGAAACAATTACTAACAAGGAAAGGGAACACACCCAAGACCAGACCATAGCACAGAGTCAGCATTTTAGAATACCAGTGAGGGACCAAGAGACCTAAAGTTTGTACACTATCAACGCTTACACCTCCAGACTAAATTCATGGCTATAAACTGTCAAACTGTTGCTCAGATGAATACAAGGTCAAAGCTGGGCTATGTTTTTCAGATGATAAAATTATACTTTGTAAGTTTTCACACACACATGGAAAATGTTTAAAAAAAATTGCAACTTTCTAGGCGTATGTATCTCCTCAGACAAACAGAAAAATGCCAACTATGCCATCCTCCCTCTCTTACCAATGACAAATGTGAAGACGATAGTAGCTGCCATGAAGCAGAGGTTCTTGGTTGTACATTCAAAGTTTTGAGCCACGTGTGGTTGGCGGTTTGACTTGTGACTAAGGTGGTCTTCGTCGCCATTCTCTCCAACCTCCTCATTCATGTCAGACGACTGTATCATCTCCACCTGGCTGGTGTCACCTTCCATATTATCAGGCAAGTTGAATCGTGTGTAGGAGTGCGGTTCACTGTTAAACTAACAAAACAGAAACAGAAAAGGTCAGGGTAAGCAAAACATATTATTTCAGTAACTACCAAAGAATATAGAACCTGGGTGGGAATCATAGACAGCATGCCCACTGATCCAGTTCTGTTTTCTTAATATATGTTACCACGAGTCTTCGATTAAACAGTTTCAAACGCATTTCATACCACTGCTATGCTGACGATACACCGTTTTACTTTTCTGTTAATCCAAAAGCCTCAACAGTCTCTCCTGCCTCAGTGAATGTTTCACTGTCATTACTGATTGAAAGTCTTCAAATTTCCTCCATCTCAGTGCCAAAAACTGAAGTTCTTGTGTTCGGCCTCGACAGTTCCTCTAAGCAGGTCAGTCGTTACACCAGAGCAGTTTCAGTGCAGCGCACTAGCAGGCTAGTGATTCGCTACATGCGGTAGGTGGCAAGTTAGATTCAGATTTTCCATTTGGATTTAGTTTGTATTATCCCCCAAGAGAAAAGTGTCTTGGTTTGTAAATTGGATTTTGGTAGAGTGTCCCTGTGCCAAAGGAAATACTGCACAGTGAAATGTATATTTGAAGTAACCTTTCAGTTAAGAGGTGGAAATGGAAACATAAATAAATAAAGGGTGGGAATCAACCTTAATACTAAGCTTGTTATTTTAAGATTTATCTTATAACACTCAGTGAATACTTACAATTTGGGATATCGCTGATCTTGCTTGGTCCATGGCTGCTTCAGAGGATTCTGAGAAGATAAACCAAAAAGTTAGACTACTCCAGCCACAGTTAAGTCTTTAAATGACAGGCATTTTATCCTCCAAAGAGACTTAAAGGCAGGTGGTGAGTGAATGTAACTTTTTATTCAACTTAAATCCCTCACAGTGCGAGCAGTGGGTTGCTGCTTTTCACTTGCAGGAACATCCAAAGAATATATCCCATGTCTTGTCATTGGTCCGATTCTTCTTATCCTAAAGGCAGAGCTGGCAGGGGAGCAAAAGGCAAGTGTCCTGCACAGGTCAACACACAATGACACCACCGACTCTTTGGTCTCGCCCATCGTGGTGGCGAGGTAGGAATGGATAAACTGTTTCTGTGGGCTGGGTCGATTTATACTCATAAAGAGTTGCGATCAGGAGTGCTTGTAATTGATTGATTGTTTGATTGAAATCTGTGGGAGCCAGAATTCTGGATGTTTGTCGGGGATCAACTATTTCCTTCACTCAATGACAAATGCAAATAAATGTATAACTTTTATGCAATGTGTTTTTTTGTGGATTTGTGGTTGTGTCTCTTTTCATTAAAATAAAAATATCATAAAAATTACAGACTGTTCTTCTCTTTGGAAGTGGGTAACCTTACAGATTCATCACAAATCAAATAATTATTTCCTCCACTGTTAAGAAGTCAAAGTTGTATAAGGAGCTTCAGCTATGGGACAGAATCTATATAAGCTAATCATAAGAATCTCTTTAGTCCATAAGAAACCTCTTTACACATCGAGGAAAGTTTCTGTTAAAGTTTTAACACTGACTCTCCCATAGTTTTCTTGAAAGTAAAAATGGGTCTGGGGTCTTATGTAGTAATGCTTTCCTGTATAGTTCTTATCATATCTACAGGTACGTGCATTATCAGAAGAAATATTATTTCTGTTAAACATGCACATAATGTCAAACACATAAACACTACACCCGCGACAAGATTACAGAAGAAAGTTTCTGATCACTCAGGATTGTTTTTCATTAACTCATATGTGATACTGCAGAGCCACTTAGAGGCTTTCCACTGCTGGCTGCTCATAGAGGAAGCACATGCAGAATTCTGCTGTGGATTTAAAGTTATCAGACAACGCATGTGACTAAAGTGGACAATGAGTCTAAACTGGAGGGCGTAAAATGCACCTCTTGTCGTTAAAATACAGGGGTGGAAGCTGAAAAAACCCCTGCAACATTCATACTGCAGTGACATGTGGGCCATTTAAGGGGGAAATTACGAAAGGAATAGCACAACAACAACAACAATAATAATAATAAATAAATACAAATAAAAAGTTAAACTTTTTCTGCTCAGCAAGCAGTAGTTGAAACCTCGACCTGGTTTCCCAGGTCAAAACAATTCGCGCTACGACTGCAGAAACTGTGCAGCACACGGACGGGTGTTGATGTTGTTTCCACGTAGAGTCGTTGTAGTCACTCAGACCGTGTCTTACACAGTGAGAAATATAGATCTGAAAACTAATCTGATTAGTACATAGTCGTGATCAAACAGCCACATAATGCTCTTTCCACGACACAGACTACACTACACCAGAGTGTGTTTTCCCAAATTAATGAGAAAATGAAACAAATGCACAACACTTTTATGGCACTTACGTTTATCCTTATTTAAATTCTCTCTGATGTGTTGCATGGCGAACTTACTGTGTCAGACTGTTGCCTCTCTGTCCCCGATGTCAGCATCATAAATCGGGGGACGCAGTTCTCTGAGCAGGAAGATCTTCAGCGCAGTTGGGAAAGAAATGGGCGTGAAAGGGCGAGATCACGAGTTTGGAGTCACCGCTCAGTGGTAACATACTTCCTCTAATTTTTTCTAACGACACTATTTTTATTTACATTGTTTATTCTAACCCTTGAGTAGGCAATGGGCGGATCGCGGTCCGGATCTGGACCCAGATGACGTTCTGTGTGGAACCAGACCGTTTATATTTTACTCTGCGCAGCTTTCCACGTACTTACGGTAAGGTTATTTTTAATGTGCGCAGCTTTTTCTTTTGTGTTTACGGTACTCGACGTACACAGGAAGCAAACGGGTTAATCGCGTACGTCCCACGTGACATTACTCAACCAATCAAATAATTTATTCAGTTGAACGGGTGCATTTCGTGTGTGCGAAAACAAAGTTTTGTACTGAATGTACACATTATGGGCAACACTATCACCATAATATTAAAAAAAAAAACTACCTACTGTTATTAACATTTTGGAAATTACTGCTCCTGATAATTATACTTTTATATGAAAAGTGATTAAAAACTATTTATAGTGAACCCTGCCACTGATAAATAAATAACACAATTAATAAACACATGGTTTCTGTTTTAGTGCCACATGGTTGAGGACCTTCTCCCCTGCTTTGACAGGTCTGCACAAATTAGCTCCAATGCCAGGAAATGTGTTTCGTATTTGATTCAGATCACTTTATTAAATTCATGCATATTATCAGGGCTTTGCATTGTTTTTTGTTTTTGTTTTTTTGTTTGTTTGTTTGTTTGTTTAATGCAGCTGATTATTCCAAATCTTTATACACTGGTGCTTCTGTAAAAATCAATCAGAAATTTCTGTATCTATCACAGTATGAGATATTTTAGCCTTAGGGGTAAAAAAAAAAAAAGCTCAGGTTTGAACACCGCAGCAGCAATAGTAGAAAAAAAAACAGTTTTCCTCATGGTAAGCTATAGAAAGTCATTGACTTATTGTCATCATACGGCGCTTTTAGCAAATGAACATCGTGAAAACAATATGATGACTTAGTCGATATCCACTGAAAACGTGGTGATTATTCACAACACCACTGCCAGTTGTAATAAGAGGGCCAAACCATGAACAAGGGAGGGAAAAGGACTTTTCTAGATTTCATTATCCAGAGACCAGATGTCCCCTGCTAGGGAGTTGGCACAGGTCTGAATGGTCCAGGTCGCCTGGGCAAACTGGTTGTGGAACAGCTCGGCGTCTGCGTCGGGGTCGGCAGTCGTCAAAGAGTCGAGGTGGTTGGTCAGAGCTTTGAGGGTGTGGGGACCGGAGCCCAGCAGGATGTGACGGAAGGGGCTGTCTCTGGGAGAAACGTAGGGTGACAGGAAGTTCCTTTCCACCTATAGCAAGAAGACGGACATCATGAACGAGCTGGATAAAAACCAACGTTATCAACAAATTTATTGGACAGCCCCGTCCTTTGAAAAGCAGAAAGCAGCAACTGAAGACTATCATCTATTACACTTGACTGCGATTAAAATGTGATGTATCCCATTTAATATACGATCCAAAGGTAGCTAAACCAACACTAAAGTTGTAATTTCAGCTAATCAAAAGCAGAGGTGGCAGCTTGTGAAATCAACTAAACTTGATAGGCTGAGTTTTTTCCCCTTACCGTCATGATGCGGTCATTGATCACGCGGCGCATCTCGATGTCCTCCAGGTCGCTGTTCTGGATGTCGGCTGCCAGCGCGTTAGAGGCACGGCTGTAGGAGCCAGAGGCCATGATCAACCACCGCACTGTCAGAGCTTTGGGCAACAGCTGGGGCTGCATCTGCAAGCACACAAACATGCAGGGATGACTTTTCTCCCTCAAACTCAAGTT